TACATATAACAAAATATGTTACCAAACCATCCCTCCCTAGCACTGTCTTATTCAGCTGAGTTCAGTAATTCTCTGGCAGCATAGTGGTTACGAATTGGGCTGCTAACCTCAGTGTCGGCAGTTCGAAACTACCAGCTGTTCTGCGGGAGAAAGATGAGGCTTTCTGCTCCCGTAAAGATTTACAGCCTCAGAAACCTTGTGCAGGGTCACTATGAGTCGGAACCAACTCCATGGTACTTAACAACAACATACCTATATGTAAGGAGCTCTGGTAATGTGGTTACAATTGGGCTGTGAAATTGCAAGATAAGCAGTTCGAACCTACCAGCTGTTCCACAGGAGAAAGATGAGGCTTTCTGCTCCCGTAAAGATTTACAGCCTCGGAAACCCCATATAGGGTCGCTATGAGTCAGAACAGACTTGATGGCACTAGACAACAACAACATACATATATATGTAAAATGTATCAAATTGCATACTTTAAATCATGTCGTTCATTAAAATATGTCTACTATACCTTAGGAAAGCTGTTGAAAAAAAGAGAGGCAAGAAAGGAGCAGAGAGGAAAAGAAGGAAAAAACTTTGGAATGACTGACTTAGGCATTATGTAACCTCTGGGTCCCAATTTTCTCACAGGACTTACTATATGGGGATTTAATGAGATAATTTATGTAAGCAAAGGCCTAAGTGTATAGTACAAATAGCATGCCCGATGGTTTTAAGTGCTATGAAGAAAAATACATAGGGAAGGAGAGGGAAGAGGGATCTCAGTGCCCAAAGAATCATAAAGGGCTTAGATTCTGACCCACCCAGTTCTGGACTTCATATGGTATGACATAAACATAGCTAAAGGCCTAAATGACATCTGTTCTAATGATCTCAAGGTAGACGGTGATGGCAGTGATCTAAGTGGTGGAGATACCAGTGGATGCCAGTAAAGAGAGAGCCTTAATTCAAGGCACTTGAAGCTTCTGGACTCCTTCTTGACCCCAGGGAGAGGAGAAATCCAAATAGTTTGTTCCCCAGTAATTCCTACCAATCAGTAAACTCCATCAAGGTAGAAGCTATATCCTTACCACTATATTCTGGTGTGGCACCACAGGATAAGCACTGGACTGCTAACTGCAAGGCTGGTGGTTCAAACCCAGCAACGACTCCTTGGAAACACCAAACAGGGTCGTTATAAGTGTTTCTGTGTACATCTTCTATGCCTCCACAAAAAAAACAAACAAACCAGAGAATGGAAGCAAATACTGTTGAATGATGATGCACGGAGACTGTAATCATTGCAATGAAACGATGGTATAAAGCAGATGTTCTCCCAGGTAAACTATCACTCAGTTCACAATAAAAACTAAAAAAAGTCATTGTAACCCAGAAGAAGCTACAAGTTCAGAAAAACTCTTCTCATATTAATTTAGCATGTTTGTTTAATGACATGTTTATTTAAAGAAATGACAATAAGGCCTTCATCCATTG